GTTATTGGTATCATCTTAAACCTTGTTCACTTGTCTTTATTTGGATGAAAAAAATATCAATTTATCTTGAATACAAGTCGAGATATTTGCGAATGAAGGAGGTGGGGGTCACCTGTTTTCAGAGGTAAAGTTAATGAGAAAATGGCCGCCAAAGATTAGTTATTTCCATAGCTTAAGGTCCGTGGTAACTGAACATTTACATTTTTTGTGCCTTTAATCAACGTTTGTCAGAAAAATCCACACAGAAATGAGTTTTTTAATGGGCATGAAAGGTGTTGAGCCCCCCCAAAAAACGTTGATGAAAATTCAGAAACCTGCGGAAAAATGCCAGTTTCTTCACTTTGATTATTTTCAGGAGAGCCTCATTCCACCACGCTGCCTCGCGTTTGTTCTGAGTGGAAAAACTTTCGTTAGTCGCTACGTAGCCAGGCCTGCCAGCTGTGCCAGATTTTCCCGGTCGGCAATCGGGAATTTGAGAGCCTTATCACATACCCTTCAGCGAAACTCGTCGCTCTCTTGATGTAATTGCGTTCATTGTTAATTATCTGATGTTATAACTTTGGTTTCCCTGATTGGGTTTTGGAAAAGTTGGCAGGAAGGCCTGGTTGGATAATAATAAGTAATAAATAAATAGCTAGCATTTGTATAGCGCATGTCCCCACTCGAAAGCAAGCTCTATTCGCTCATTACCCCAGCAGACCATAGAACACTCAGAAACATTCTCAGCTTCTCGGGAAGCATACAGTGCAAGCAGCTGGTTAAGCGCTTAAACATTAACAAACTGGCAAGATCTTTCGCTGTGTATAGCTGGACTTGACTACGTTCATAACTGTCTGTGGTGTAATGGAAGATTTCTGCCCTGGAGGTACCTCGGAATGACCAAGCTTTATCGCACTTATCACAGTTCCGCACACTTTGGAGATACATGTATTGAGTTAATATTAATAGTTATCACGCACTGGTCTATCCTTTAATACTGTAGTGAACAAAATTAAAACGTCTTTTCTTATTTTGTGGTTCAAAGGAACACAATTTTGAAATGTAAAAAAAATTTGCAGTTTCTTACTCTGTGGTATTGGTTGGTTACTTACTTACTTCTTACTTACTTACTTACTTACTTACTTACTTACTTACTTACTTACTTACTTACTTGGAGAATAGGTATCATTGCAGGTGGCACAATGCCATAGCTGCTCCTCCCTCCTCTCCAGGATCCATGAAAGGGTCTGCTTGCTGATCGTGCCAGTTATCAGCTGGTTGGATATTCTTAGACTGGCTTTTCCACGCACGATTGCGTGTGCTCAAGAAATATTTTGTCAAAATTCAGATTTGAAATGTTGAAAAAAAGCAAGAAAAGATACATACGTAAGGTATATAAAATTGTTGAAAGGATGAAACAGGGTTTTTTTTTCTCTCCTGTGAAATAATCATTTAGTCTCTCTGGGCATGGGATAATATTTGAACATCTTTCTGATGGTGTGATGTAATGGAAGTACAGGGAGATTGGTCAATAGTGTCGTAAAACACCTACTCAATCAATCAATCAATCAATCAGGGAGAGTTGATGGACTTTGCAGAAAGACAAACATTCCAAGTGAAAACGCTACTGATTGAAGTGTCTTTAGGCCATTCTCAAAGGAGGGGATGTTATTATAATATTAACATGTTCGTATGCACAGTAGAATTGTAAATGGGCTGATTTGATTCATCAATGTCATGCTCATACCGTGCCGAAACAACATAGGTGGAACTGCTGCTTTTTCTTTCCCCATCCTTACTATCGTCGTTTTTCCTCTACTTCTTTTGTATGTTTGTCACACTCTTGTGAACTGCAAGTTCCGAGGTGCCTTGATGTCGAGGCAGACTTTGTGCTGTTGAAGCTAGAGAGGTGAGCAGAGTAAGTCTGATACCCCGCTTGGACTTCTCTGTTGACATCCACCCCTTGGCGCTCATATGACCGTAGGATGTTGCGAGCGCCGTAAAACCTTCCTAAAACTAAACTGAAGTGAAAATTTTGTTATTATGGGTTGGCGAATTTTCACTTCAAGATCAAGACGGGATCGTTTTGGGTAACTTCATCCTCGCTGAATCCTTGGCGTTTTGCAACGACGCCTGAAAAAAAAAAAAGAAATCCATTCTGGAGTATTTTAGTTTGCTTCTCAAACCCTTTGTCTTTTATTATCACTTTTTGTACCGACTTTTCCAAAGAAATAATTGTCACAGCATTATGGTGGAATCAGGCGCTCGTCAATTTTTGGGGCATATATTTTTATATGGAGTTATTGTTAGTTATGTAATCTTACCTCTACCCGTACGCCCTAGGGCCATTTTGTACCCCCGGGGTTGTATACTTCACATTTATCAATACTTCTAGTACGAAGATCTCTTTGAAGCTTTCAGTATTTCTCAGAAAAATTATTTTGACAGACTGCTATGCAAAGCGTACGGATCGCATTGACGATCGAGTAAATTTCCTCTTTGGAAAGTGGTGGCACAGAGTTCCCCACGACGTATGGATACGATGGTAAAAGTAAAACACGACGTACGGAAAGGGTTAAGTGGTGGCACAGAGTTTCCCACGCCGTATGGATACAATAGTAAAACACGATGTATGGAAAGGGTTAAGTGGTGGCACAGAGTTCCCCCATGTCGTATGGATACGATAATAAAACACGAAGTACGGATAGGGCTAAGTGGTGGCACAAGTTCCCCACGTCGTATGGATACGATAGTAAAACACGACTCGCGGATAGGGTTCAAGCCTGTGTATTTGCCTGGCTTTTGATGAAAAAGAAATACTACCCATCTATCTAGAATAGAAGTCTCCGAGATACGTATATTTGCGATTGGAGCTTTCGCAGTTGGCGTTATCTCGACGTATGTAACCACCGGCCCAGCGATAGCGGGGATGTTCCCTCTGACTCTAACCAGGTCGCTGGCCTCACTATCAACTTAACTGTTACACTCCACGGTGCTCTACCATAATCATTTTATACTGTCGGCCAGCCTTTATAATGTACTATATAACGCCCCCCACCCCC